GCAGGCGAAGGGGCAGGGATTGCTGGAATTGGCAGGATGTAATGAAGTTGGCTGTGTGTGTGTGTGTGTGTGTGTAAATGCCTTGTGTCGCATCAAATTTTGGGCATACACTAACGCGCACACCCACACACACACACACACAGAGCGAGCGGCGCACGCATAGCATACATAACATAACATAATAGGTACATGAAGAGTTTTTGTCGAAAAACAACTTTAATAAACCCGCTTGCCCGACTAATTTGACAATAAAAACCAAATGCTTTGGGAACACAAATAAGTAGGGGCTGCCGAGCACGGAGAAAAAAAGGGACAAAGGAACTGGCGACTGGGAGTGGGCCGCTGTGCTGCTCTAGCCTACCCTTTTTATGGCCTACATGCGCCGCGCTGCTAACAGGTTTAAAAATTACATTTAATGACAATTGGCGCAACCCGAAAACCTTTCCGCCGGCAACCCTCGGCGAGCCCATGGCCGCAATCAGATATACAAATTTGAGAATGGGTAGCGTGGCAGAGGGACATGTGTAGATGCTGAATGGCTGGCAGAAGTTGGCTGGCAATGGCATTCTCGACAGGTTCGCGCAATTTCCAGCCAAGTTGCTCCCATTAGCCACATAATTTTAAGTGTGTGCGTGGCGCGGCTTTTCGAACGAGTGGCGCCGTCGGAGGTGGAGTGGAACGAGCTCATTTAATATTAAAAGGATTTATGAGACATTTTCCTTTCATTTTGACAACGCAAAAGGACGCACGGACGGAGCCGGACGGGCGGAACGGGCGGAACGTTTCAATGGCGAATGGCGAATGGCAAATGAAAATTTCTCTCGTGCCGTTGATGAAATTTTCGCTTAACAGAATTTGTGACGCTTCGCGTGGCGCCGTTGCCTACGCTCGGTTAAAGGGTTTTACTTTTTAGTCTCAGTTCCACTTTAGCACCAGCTCCTCGCCCGCCCAGCCCTGCTCTGCCGCTGCCGCTGCCGCTGCTGCTGCTATTGTTGTGCGCAGCGTGGCAACTTTTGCGCTGGTTTAGCTTACGCCTGGGAATTATTTGAGTGCTTTTTGCAGGCACACCCCTCTGGCCCTGGCCCTCCCACACTCCCAGCAGTCAACATCCCTATCGCGATCCTAAGCGTGTGAAAGTGCAGACGCCGCCAACCGCTGAATGTATCAAATAAAAGCCTGCTTTCAATGTGTATGTGTGTGTGTGTGTGTGTGTGAATTTTGACAGATTTGAAAATTATTATGCAAAATGAATAATTTAGTTGAAAGTGTTAAATTGATTTTGCCCTTTTACAACACACAGCCCAGAACATCGGAGATGAAGGCAATGCTGGCTTGATTGTCAGCGCTGATGGGCATTTCCACAGACGCCACAGACACTACCCTCACCTGGCTGTCCATTAAAAGCAGCTTAAGGGGTTGCAAATCGTAGTGAACTCTATATATATTCAAGTCCAAAACATTGCATACTTAAGTTTATGTTATTAAGCACAGATGAGATGTGGACTACTGATGAGTGAGGGAGAGAGGATTTCATGTTGTCTTGCTGCTGAGAGTCGTATATATATCGTTTAATATGTTAGCAAAGCTATGCTTGAAGCATTTTGAGTTGCCTGGAGAAGTCAGATCTGTAAGCTCTAAAGAAAGACTCAGCTTGGAAGTTAGAGCTGGAAAGCCTAAAGGGAATGCAGTTAAGAGGAAGTAGTAAGAAGCTTAAATTCTGTGATTCTGTTTCAGTCGCTCTCTTTCTCTCTCATCTCTTATCTCTCTCTTTAGATTTGATTCACAGTTTTAATATTCCTCGGCATAGCTTTCGCATTGAAACCCCTTCAGACTTACACCTTAGACTAAAGCTCACATACTTCTCATTAGTTGCTACACTGAAACGCCATCTGCTACTCTCGCTGGCCTCCATCAATTTCCCTTAACTTATCTCTTTTTCTCTGTACAAAAATTCTCTGGGCAAGAGCCCAGAACTTCGACAACTTTGACAAAACTCAGGCCTACTTCAGCGTGTCTCACTCTGCAGATTAATTTGCCTTCCAGATTGCTGGCATTTAACAAAACTTAAGCATTTCGCAGGCTGCATCCGTGCGGCCAGCCCATTATCCAGCTGTAAGCAACACCTTTTCGTAATCAGGCTGCAGGCAATTGCGCGTAGTTACTTTTTGTTAGTGAGCACCCCTAGAAAAAACAGGGGCTAACGGCTCGGCATCTTGTAACTTGTCCAGCGGCCACGGCCACGCCCACTTCAGCTTGGTTACACTAGCGTAACGCCCACATCTGACGTCATTTGTCAAATTTTGGCAGTGTAGGGGGGCGCCCCAAAACCTTTTACTAGATATACACACATCTAGCCCACCTTTCGCCTTTCGCCTTTCGCCTTTCAGCCCGCCCCCAGCGCTCTGCTCGTCTGTGGTCGCAGTCGTGGCTAATATTGACATTCCTAATCTGTGCAGTGCTGTGTGTTGGCCGTTAAAATGCCGTGTCACATCGTTAGTATGCGTGTGTGGTTCCATTTGTTGAGGTCGCCTTGGCCCGATCGGGGCATTTCGAATTGAGTTCCTAGCTTCCTAGTCTTTGTATTTCTCATTTCGGCGCTGGGTGTGTATTGTTTTTGATTCATGCCGCGCTATCAGCACTGGGCGTGTTTCCAGCAAATGTATATAAATATACTTTTGTGTGTGGCAGCAGAGACGTGTGTGTTTGATGATGACATTGCGCAGTCGAGCCAGTGGGCAGTTTATTAGCTTAAGTAGCTGCCTCATTGGCAGTGATTAGCGTTGGAGTCAAGCGAAGTAACAAACTGCTGGCGGGCGCTGTTCTCGTATCGCTTTTTAACAACGCTGCAATTTTGTGCGTCATCTCTGATGGCCGCGGCAGCGACCAGACAGTCGAGCAGGAGTCGGAGTTGGAAGCGCTAGCTGCTGCTACTGGACGTCATGTTGTTACTTTCTTGCAGCGCACTCAACTTGACGGTTTTTGTTTGTTCTTGGTTTTTCTCTTTTGCTGCAAATTGTTAGCAGCTCGCCCGCAGCGTGCAGGCATAGACCCTCAGCTAGACCCAGACCCAGACCCAGACCCAGACCTCCGGCATGTATTTGCCCAACCTGTGTAAAGTGCAGCGCAGACAAATACACACACAAGCGCGCACACACACACATGCACAGAGAGTGGGATTCTAGGGCAGACGGCCAAGCTGGCAGCCAGGCAGGAACACGGGCCAAAAGCGATTTGCCTTGCCAAAAGCTGCATGACTAACTTTGTAGTTGTGCCTCTCCCTCTACCACCCTCCCTCTCTCTCTCTACGTGTGTGTGTGTGAGCTGGTGCGACAACACAAGTGTTTTAATTTTACGACATTGTATGAATTTTACTGCTGGCACAGCAGAAACATCAGCACCGCTGTTACATATCGTTAGCTTCCTTAACGGACGTATCCCACATCTTGCAACCGTCTGTTGCCACGCCTCCACCCAACCACTCGACCAGCTCTTCCCTATGCAGCCCTGCAGCCTGTTGTCTGTGTGCTCATAAATTGCAGCTAGCAAGCTTCAGTGCAATCAACGTCATCAGCTTCATCCGGCCCTACAGCTGCAACAAAAAACCAACCATGGGCCCAAAGCGAAACCCCAAAAAAAGGCATAAAATGTGTTTAAAAACCGCAACAATTTCGAAACCAACTGCCGAAAGAGGAAGAAAAAATGTTTAACGAACCCCGTCTTAACTCTAGAGTTCATCAAGTGAATCATTCGATTCATTTTCATTCATCAATTGAACTTGATTTCTAATTGAACTGAAAACGTTGAACGGAAATAGAACTAGCTTACGAACTAGTTGTGAACGCGATTAGAACTAGTTTTTGAACTTGTTATGTTTTTAAATGATTCACTAAAAAGCACATGCATAATTCCTTGCTGTTCCACAAAATAAAACAGTTTCTGGAACTAGCTCATAACAAGCTTTGTAATAATTAAAAAGTTTTAATAGAAGTTCAGCTAATAAGGAACTGAGCTGTAATTAAAATAGTTTTTTAATAAAAATGAGTCAGCTCCTGGAACTGAATGTCAGCTAACTTTGTAAAAAATGAATAAATATTTTCAAAGTTAACTGAAATTTATTAATTAACTCTGACAATTCATGGCTCGCATGCAACAAAAAGAAACTAATATGCTAAAGTTTAGTTTTGCTGCATTAAATCATGAATCAGTTCCTGGAACTAGTTGGCAACTTACCTTTGTCACAATTACATTAGTTACAAAAATTATTCAAACTGTAAATTGCTAGGCAAAGAATTCCTAATAAGCAAACTATTTTTAATGGACAAGAAGAAATGCTAAATGAACCAGTTCTCGGAACTAGCCAGCAAACTATGCAAGCAAATCGTTTGCTCCACTGTCGCTTAACTGCCGTCACTTAACGTTAACAGTTTACGCTTGCCTGCGGGCTAAAAAGGCTGGCGTTGCAATACACACACACACGCACACACACACACACACTCACACACACACACACATACAGAGCCGTGCGCGCTTGCATGTGCTGCTCGGCACTCGCCGCGCCATCTTTGGCGCGCCATCATTTTTGGTGCTGCTGTTGCGCTAACTGCGTAAAGTTGGCACTTGAAACTGTCAGCTTAAATATGCCAGCTGCACACACACACACTCGCACACACACACACACACACTCACACATGCGGCTACTACATAAAGTGCACAAAATGGTCGACGCATAGCGAAAGTTGCTGCCGTAAGTTGCAGAAGCAGCGACTCTTACGGCTCCTCGCAGTCTGGCGGGCCATAACTTTGGGTAACATGGCCAACCCCCCCCCCTGCCCCTCCCCCTCCTTACTATAAATGCATTTTTAAATGCCAGGCTACAGCTAAATTAAGCAGCATTTGCCACTTGCGCTTTACGCGCTCATTCGTTCCTTCATTTATGCTGATACTTTATCACAATTTCTATCTCTCCCACTCACTCCCTCTCTGTGCTCTCTTTGTTGCAGATGGTGACGAGAACGAAGAAAATCTTTGTGGGCGGCCTCTCGGCGCCCACCACGCTAGAGGATGTCAAAAGCTACTTTGAACAGTTTGGTCCGGTAAGTAAAATCCAATACAAAAATAAAAAAAAAAAAAAAACTGAATAAATATAAGCGAACTAGTTCTTTTGTACAAGTAGCAATAAAGCAACGTCTGCCAACTTGCCAAAATAATAATAATGAAAACGAAAAATCAGAATGACAGTTGCCGAAAAACGAAACATGCAATTTATGCGCACTGCGCGTGTTGCCTCCAAATATATATAAATATATATACTATATAGGTATATACAACTGCTGAGCAATGACACCTTCGCTGGCTGCCACTTGCCAGCGTTTGTTTGATCAATAAAAATGCCAAAAAATACATATATATATATGTGTGTAGTCGTGGCAAATTCAATCTTGACAAGTACTGCAAGGCACAGACGATGCAGCGCCTACTAACCCTTCACTCAACACAATTTATCCAAAAAATTCTGCTCTGCAGCAAAGGCAAACTCCACTTAAACAGCAGCTCACACACGCACACACACGCACACACACACACACACACACACACACACAGTGTGTGCATGTGTGTGCGTGTGTTTGCGGCTGAGTGCTGTTCGAGTGCTCTTTAAGTTCTCCATTCAGGCAGGCAACCATAGGCAGGTGGGGCCCTCTGCCCGGTCTTGTTATAGCGCACAAAACAAATTTTTAGGACGAGAACAAAAAAATTGTTGTGTTCTTGATTGCGATACTAAACGAAAATCGATTTGTTTCGACGCTCTTCGATTTTAATGAGCGACTAGATGCTTCAGACTGCAGCGGGCGTTGAATGTGCCAGCCGAAGCAGTTCAGGCAGCAGAGGCAGCTCTGCCAGCTGAGGATTCCATTAACGATATGCAAAATATTTGCTTAAGCCTTATCCAGCAAAGCTCTGCGTGCATGCTTAAGCATAAATCTTTAATAAGGATAAGACAAAATGTGCTGAGGATGTGAAAAGCCAAATTAAGATTTGCTTTAGATTGTCATTAAATATAGGAATTAAGCTTTAATACATGCGACTGCACTTTGTGTTAACTGTACTTATGTAAGAAGCTGTTATAACAAGAGCATGGCTATTTAACGATATGAAATTGGAGCTTTCATGTGCTTTAAGCAAAATGCTGCGCTTTGAAATGTTAATTCTAATAAACATCAGCAGCTATAATACAAAGCTGCTCTGTGAGCTTTCACATTAATTGCACAGCTTTCATGCGCTTAAGCAAAAAATTGTGCTTTCAAACTAAAGTCTTATTAACTTTAAAAGCTCTAATATAAAGCCGATCTTTGAGTTACAATTTATGCATAAAGCTTTTCGTTCATCACAAAGCTCTCATGCGCTTTAGCAGCTTTTTGTACATACTTCAAATATTGCTTAACTAATTCTAATTTATTTTAACAAAGAAGCTTTAAACGAAAACCTTTAACACAAGCTCTTGTTTATCATCTGCTTTCATCTACTTTGGAGACTTAAGTTAAATATTTGATAACAACATTTTGACGTTAATCAACTTTTATAATTGCTTTGCACTTTTAAATTGGCTGTTAGCCACCTGAAAAAATGGCATCTATCACTGCTCGCCGCACAAAGCTGCAATGTGTTTTTTTTGGGTTTTTTTTTGCGTGGCTTTGGCAATATTCATTGTTTTGTCATTTAAGGCTGCCCCTCATTCGGCAAAAACTCTCAGCGGATTTGGAAACTTCACTCAGCGACCAGGTGAAAAGTTGATGAGGGAAAGTGTGGCGAGGGGCGAGAGGCGGGCGGCAGCCTCCTGATAATTGACACAAATTGGCGCAACTTTTTGTCAGCTCTTCAAACCCGCGCCCACGTCACTCGATAATGCGAATATAATGACGACGCCCCAGAACTTGCAACACAGGCACAAGCACAAGCACAAGCGCCCCCAATCCAGCTGCCAGCGTTGCCACCATTCATGCCACATAAACGCCCATCAATCAAATCAGCGCTGCGCAAAATGCTTTTAAGTAATTTTCATCATAACTGCGAATGAAGCTGTCAAAATCCATAACGATCAAATAGTTGAAACACCTAGCCAAAGATATTGCCTAGGTGGCAAGTGGCGATTGCTTCGCTCTCTCTGCCTCGCTCTCTCTGACTATTGAAACAAAGGCGAAGCAGCTTAACCAAGCGCGAATTGCTAATGGCAAACTTTTCAATTAATCCGCATTTGCAAAAAGAAAAAAAAAAGAAAGGAACAAAAAAAATTATAATAATAACTTGGCACACAAAGAGCTCAGGTTGAGTGGAGGGCGGCGGCGTAGGTTGGAGGATTGGCAAAACTTTCGACAGGCAAACAACAGAACTGAAGATGGCTGGGCAGTCCTACTTACTTGGGCCAAGTTATTGATTACAACTAATCCCCTTTTGGCTTTTGCCTGCCGCCTCATTGAGCAGCGGCTTGGCAAAGAGATTTGCGCCGTTCGCCCATAAACAAAATAGTAGCAACTGGCCCCGCCAGCTCAGACGACCAGCTCGTTGTGTGTGTGTAGCCGTATCCGTGTCCGGATCAGCAACGGCAACAGCAAACACAAGCATATCCCAGGCCAGGTGGCCAGCCAGGCGTTAATGACTTTATCGGCCATTTTTCTTCTATGGGGGAGATGGCAAGAGAGATAGGGAGAGAGTGGGCGACCGAGGTGGAGAGATGGCCTTTGTCGTTGTCAGTGCCATTAGAGACGGCACACGGTAAAGATTGATTAGCCAGGATGACACAGTCAGGCACAGGCACAGGCACAGGCACAGGCCAGAAACAGAAGCCATTCAATATGATTAATAGTTGTTGCATGTTGCGTAGCACGACGGCGACAATCACAGCGATACGACCCAACAATAGGCCAAATAGACCAAATACCAAAATGCCGGATAGTCGAAAAGCGCAAACAACATCGAGATTGTCTATATAGAAATTTATGACCCGAGCAACCAGCCAATTTCATGTTGCCAGCGCAATTTTTTACGTTCGCCTCCCGCTTTTTCTATTATATATATATATGTATATATTTTTTCTAGTTTTGCCTGCCCTCAGCCTTGTCAGCGGCACATTTTATTTGCATTTCATTTTATTGTGTGTTTTAAATGTTGCATTGCATTGTTTGCCTTGTTTTGCTCATTGTGTGGAGTAGCTGCAGCGACAAGGCTATAAAACGAATACCGGATGCTCTCGACGAAATTTATTTCAATTTTGCAAATATATTCGGATTGTCTTTCATTTGATATATTTCGAATTCCTATTAGAATTCTTCGTAAGACCAGCTGGCAGCTGGCATTCAGGTGAAACTGGTGGCAGCAACGTCAGTTAGATATATGTTGAAAATGTGATTTATTGGGACTGAGATTTGGAAGAACTGCTCAGAAGGTCTAGCTGGAGAGAAGCTAACTTAGTTAGGCTGTAGCTACATGCGTATCCTTAATAGTCTTTTACTAAGCCTTGTCTGACAGCTTAAAGTTAGCTTATGAAAAACCCTACCGTGCCACATATATCTCTCGTTGAAATAACTGCACGACGCTGCAACATTTCAAAGTAATATCATATGGCATGTGCACAAACATAGATTGCAGTTAAGAGCTCTTACAGCCTAATGTTAGCTGGCTAATAGCAAAGTTTTAGTGCCCCGCTGTGTGAGAGGTCATAAAAACTTGAATCTCTCTCGCTCTAACTCTCTGTCTGCATCACCTCTCACCTTCGCTCATTTGCAAACAGATACATTGAAGAGGCAGATACGGCAGGCAGAGGCCAATCATTTGAACCTCCTGCCGCCTGATAGTTGCCACACCTTTTAAATGCAAATCAGAGAAATGTTTTGCCCGCTCGCCACTCGCCACTCGCCACTTGCCACTTGCCGCCCGTCGGCCAAATGGAAAACAAAACCAAACCAACAAAACAAATGGCAAATTTCAAATTTTCACTGTGCAAGTTTTTAGTGCAAATGCCTCACATTTAACTGGCACACCAAAACGCACACACACACACACACATAGTGCAGTGGACCCCAAACTGACCTCAGCTGCTGCAACCTTTGCCACTGATTTTATTGCAGCTGCTGCAAGCGCTGCGATAACACAAATTTCACATGCCGCAAGGACAGGAGACGACGGCAGGCGGCAGCAGAGAGAAGCCAAAAATACAAAAATAAGAAAATAAAAAAAAATCAAAATAAAAACGAAAAGTAAAAACGCAAAAACTAGCAACAAAACCAACAAAAATGCAAAGCTCTTTGGCTAAAAAATTGCAAATAAACTACACATTTTGCAAAATCCCCCCACAGCAACTAGCTGCCGCTGCGTCTCTGGCTGCGTCGAGGCTCTCGAACAAGCCTGAACTATGGCTATGGGGTATGGAAATTGCAGTGGCCAGTATCAGGCAGCCTGCAGACATCGCCCTGTGACTTTTAAAGGTGTTTACGGTGTTTGCTTTGCCCTGCCCCAAGGGTTAGTTAATTTAAGCGCTTTTCATAAGCATTTTATGTGCAGAAGACGAGCAGGGCCAGAGCCGGAGCCACAGCCAGAGCCCCAGCCAGCTGACCAGGCCAAGTGGCAAAAGTGCAGCCAAAGCTGCCAAATGTCCAGCCAACTGGCGTCGGCTACTTCTTTCTGCCCAAGCTACCCCTGGGGCATTAATTATGACAAATTATGCAAAATAAATTGCAACAAAAATACAAAAGAAACGAGTTTAAGTATTTTATATGAGCTGTTTAGAGCGGGCAGAGCGCTGAGATGGAAATGAGTGAGAGACATTTGCTTAGCAAATTATTCATGTGATTTTTCTGCTATGAATTTGCATTTATAATTATTTGATTACGATTCAATACAAAAGAAAGCAAATTAGCTCAGGCAAATCGCAATTCGAATACACTTTTATCTAAGTTCTAGTTACTAATCGACTAATCGCACGTAATATATAATTAGCATATAAATTAAGCTTCATTTGTCTAATTACTAACTAAACTTCTGCAATTATCTATAATCACTTACTTCTCTCTGCTCTAGTCAGTTCGTAATTCGACTCAACTCC